ACGGTTGAATAGTATTTCCACAATCGGCACGACTTCAACAGAATGTTTAATAAGGATGGTATTATAGAATTTTTTGTAAATCGCACAAGGGGGCCTTGTATGGCACGTAGCGGGACAAACTTTATTTTACTTACTTATCTTTTCGTAATTAAAGGATATAATACGATTTTATGTACCGAAATCTCAGTATGCTTTTATATCGGGTTTATAATAACTGCACACATTAGTCTTCCCTTAACAGTAAAGGTTACAGTATTATCCCATAATCCCTTAATAGTTAGTGATCACCATCCAAGCTGAGGGACCACCACTTGTCGGCTGTCCGCGACTATATTTAGCTCAATATAATTGCAGCCATCATTCATATCTGAAGGCAGTTTAATTTGTTCTTGCAGTATATGGTTGTATAGTTGATTGTGACCACGTGACTGCATGTGATGGAACAAGCGATTCCCACAGTCGAGAAGGTTTTGTGTGTGTGTGCTGCTAATTTAGAGCGATCGCCCGCCCTGACGCTCGATTCCGTTTCACGTCGTGCTTGGAATCGGCCCAACTAGTCGAGACTTGGTTGCCTCTTGATTAATCCTGCTGTTGGCTCGTTACAATTCTTAGTAGATCCCTTTAATAAGCTTTTTATATTGTGACTTTTGAAACTACGGGCGAGTTTAGCAGTGAACTTACACTTCCTTCAACTAAATTTAGCAGACAGTAGTTGGAAGTTACCATCAGATGTTGGAAGTAGAGTTATGGGATATCTTATCGAAGTAAAACTTTTAATTCATACTTGTTTTCCTGATGAGAGGGAATCTGAAATGAACATTCAACGAAACACAGTAATTCAAGTACAATGCTTTATGCCGACAGTTGGAAGATGCCAAGTGTTGGGGGTAAATCAGGTTTCCTTTCCCCGGCAATAAAACGACTGGACCGTAGTGCTCAGACTAAGAGTTCGTGGAGTTGTACCTCCATTTCCCATACATCTACATAATGTGTTTTACTTCTTAACTAACCTTCAGGTTATTTGTAATTAAATGTAAGTAGTTGGTATTAAGTAATAAGCTATTTACGTTTCAAATCTGTTGAGAATAGATGCAGTTATAAGCCTGCAAGGCCGTACAGTCTGAGGCGTGGGTCTTGTGCCGCTTGGTCGCTGGGACCGTGGGTTCGAATCCCACTCAAGCCATGGATGTTTGTCCGCGTTTTTTCTGTGTTGTGCTGTCCTGTGTACAGATAGAGGCCTTGAGAAGGGCCGATCCCTCGTCCAAGGAGTTCTATCGATTGTCTATAGATCGAGCCAACGTAAAGTTGGGACCGGCAGTGCTCAGGCACTTGAAGAACGGGTCGTTCCCAGTATACCAGTTATAAGCCTGCAGGATACGCACAGTACACACGTTTATAGTCTGATCCCTCGAGGGGTACAGATGTATTTCATTTAGCACTACGCTCGCTCGTAATTTATCATTGAAGGAAGATTAAAACGTTTCAGATGTAATTACTGATGGACTCCAAAACGCACTAAGTCTGTTAGACCCAAAACAAGTTGCAATTGTATCAAATAGTTGACACTTGTGGTTGTGCTGATGCCCATCGATAACAAATTTCAGACTTGTATTCCAAAATCTCCTGGTTCTAATCTCTACTTACTGTGTTTACTGACGTTTTCTGTGGTGTTTCTGACCCCCTCAAGGTGGTCGTTAGGATAATACTTTGTAAGAAGTCATAATTTCCTTCTCATGCATCTTTTGTGTTTTACAAATTTTAAAAATAAATATTATTATTGTCTCTTGTATTGTATCCCCGTTTGATGTTACGTATTGAGAATTAATGTGAAAGGATGATGTGAATAATAAGTCCTCAGGGACGAGGCACAAAGCGGTGATAACATCTCGATAGGTAGCACTGAGTAAAAACAATAACATTCAGTATATCATTTCTCCGAGAGGGGTTCGAATAGGTTGTGTCCCATAAAGTAATCGGATGCTAATAAATTATTATAAAATTTTGCAGAGTTTAGTGAAACGATAATTAACACAAACAGTTTTACATGTCCTGTATAACATGAGACTTTGGAATAACTTTGTTTTATATTACAATAAACTGTAAGATTATCGTTTTCATTATTAGTTGATTTAACTGTCCATTATAAATTTAAAAAAAAAAAAAACATAGCATGAAATTGGAGGATAGAAGGACTTTGAAACACTGTCCAAAAATTTACGTGTAGACGCTGAAGAAAAACCAGTAAAGATAACTTAGCGAACTAAAATATATCCATGAGTCCATTTGATGAAATTACAACTAGGAATGAATCACTTTGTAGGTTTGAAAAGTGCATTCAACGACTCATACCGTGTGAATGCCAAATGCTGACGTGCAGACATAGAAGCTTGCAGCGATGTGATAATGTTTCATAATAGTTGTAAATATGGTAATAATATCAATATCGAACAGTAACTAGTCGCAACATGAATGCTTTAATTCAGTATTACATTTACTGATATAATAAATTTCTTTGTAAAATTGAACAAGATATTCGAGATTGTAATGCACCGGTACAAAAGAGCGCATAGCTATGGCTCTACGTTGTTCCATTTGACTCATTTGAATTTCATATTATGTTTCGCTCCGTCCTATCGGTTCTCAGCCACCTCCACTAAGGCGCTCCTACTTCAGGACTTGCCTCCCCGTCTTGATCGATATTCTGGCTGAGAATATCAAATGACATGGATCATGTACAGTAAGAAAAACCTGGGGATTAGATCCGTGAAAGGCTTCTAGCTCTCGTAGAGGCCTTTACAGGGTAATGGACCTGTCTGTCAGCCAACATTCCTTATATTTTCAAAGAAATATGTGTTTATGACATCATTATGTCTGCCATGTGACCATATATGAATATTTCTGTCTTCTGGGTTGTTGACGACCGCCCTGATGACGGAGGCAGTATGACCTCTGAAACATTGGTTAAAATCGACCAGACTACACAGCGCAACAACCCAGAAGACAGAAATCTTCATCGCCCTGATGACGGAGGCAGTATGACCTCTGAAACGTT